AAAAAAAAAAAAAAAAAAAAAACCTTCCAATAGAGTCACAAAGATGTAATTATACAGTCCCCTAAAGTCACGACATACATTGAGCATGTCCTATTTACACAAAAGATGAATTTATCGACCTTAACCTTGGTCAAGGCAAAGCCCATCTTTTATTCTCACGAGCATTTGCAATCAAATATATATTTTACGTATCAAATGTTATGACAGTTTCAATATTAATTTATATACATTAATAATTTTATTTCAATAAAAATGTTAATTATTAACACTAATATTAATTGATTTATGAGGAGAGTAAAATCTCCTTATATTTTTTTTAATATCATTCGAATCGGCTTAAATTACATAAATAAAATTATTATTTTCACATAATCCCACCAACCAATCAAAAAAATTATAACATAACTCTAAGTTAATTTAAAAAATATATTTGAATATTGTAATAAAATGTAAGGAAAATAGCATATGATATATTTTTATAATATACTTGTTTTATGCACGATCTTAAAACAATTAATTAAAACTTAAGTATTGGAGTTCAAGTTGTCCATGGATCCTTTTACTTTCTTTTATTTGCGTAAAATTGCTTCCAATTACTTATTTATATAAATACTATATACAATAATATACCCTCGAAAATGTGCTACCAATATTTTATTGTTTTCCTTTAATGATTTAATTATTTTTAATTAATTTTTATATATACTACCATCAATTTAAACATAATTCAATTAATTTAAATAAGTATAAATTCTTTATTTTATAAAATTTAATTTTTTTTTATTTATGTGTCAAATAAATTATTAATTTGGTCGATTAAATTATATTAAATTTAATTTAATTATAAAAAAATATCGTTATATTAAATCAACTACATGGTAACCACCGTTACAACAAACTCAAATGCACGATCTTTTTATGAAATATTAATATTCTCGATTAATAAATTTATAAAAAGTAAAAAAACATTTAATAATTGGATCGGCCTTCCATAACCTTAATTTTAAATGATTAAAAAAAAAAAAAAAGAAAAAGAAAAAACTCAACTGACCAATGGGAAAGCGAGTTTCTTCATAAAACTGACCAACGCCGCGTACTCTTCAAACGCCTTCACGTCAATCTTCAACCTCATGAACTGCGGGAAAAACAACCAAATCGCAGTGGAGAAGATGAAGACCAGCGTCACCGGCACCGATACCGCCGCCGGTAGCCGCCGCTTCTCGGGCAACACCTTCTTCACTAGAATCTCCACCGTCAAAGCAAATCCATGGATAACAAAAAACCACGTCAGCTCCCAGTTGGGCTTCATTCGGCCCAAATAATAAAATATCAATTCGTGCATAATCGCCGACACCAAAAACGTCGCCATCACTCCCGGCAATGGCGCCCACTTTCGTCCGACGACCTTAGCAGCAATCTTGACCGTCGGTTTGTAAACCGTCGGCTGAAGAATGTTCGTGGCCATCAGATTCCACCGCCTCCCCCAAAAATCCTGAAGCGAAGTCGAGAAGTACGGATCGTGAAATTGCGGCTCGAGTTCGATCCCGAGCAGAGTCCGTCCGAAAAACTGTGTGATGGCTAAAATAATCTCAAGAAAAAAGTACACGTGCCAGCTATAAATGAACAAGATTACTTTCGGGTGAATAAACTCCGAGTAATCGTACAATTTCACCATTAATGCAACGATTAGGGCTTTAATCCAGTAGTTGAGGAACGATTTGGGTTCTTGATTTAAGGTTTCGTGGTGATTTTTAGGGCTCTGTTTCTCCGAGGGGTTTTGGAGGATCTTGATCGGCAAGCAAGAGAGAGCGAGAAATCGGCGGAGAGGGAGCGGCGGAGTGGCGGAGAGAGGGCCATTTCCGGCGGCGAAGAGGAGGAGCTTGAAGTTCGCGAGCCAAGCGATAAAGAAGGCCGTAGCGCCGCCGAGGTGGACTGAAGTTAGCTGCAGAGGGAGGAGGAAGAAGAGGAGGACGACGGGAGAGATGGCGAGGAACCGGCCGGCGCCGGGATGGAGGATTTTACCGGCGGTATGGCAGTAACAGAGAGACATACAGACGATTAACCAGACCATGGTGAAGTTAATGATTTCTCCCTCCATTTTCCCTCTCTCTCTCTCTAGATCTGGTTCTCTCTCTAGAAATGGAATTGAAGACGGAGAAGATTACAGAAATTCTGCAATTTTCTAGAATTTTAAATTACTTATTATTTTTTTTTGGTTTTTTAAAATAATATTTTTTTTTAATCTGACATACTTAAGTTTTGTTTCCATAATTTATTAAATCTAAAATTACTCGGTAATTGGTTTATTTTTCAAAAAAAATTATTCAGTATGTTTTATTATTATTTCAATTTAATATAAATTAAAAATAAGATTTATAGAAGAATTCTCTTTCAATATATACTTAAAAAGATATATAATTTTATTTCGACTTTTTGGTAGAAATAAATAATTTAATTAAATGTTCGTAGGTCAAACCTTAACTTGCAGTTAACTCATTAATCTAGTCTCCCATCGGTTAGGATGGTAATCCATCTAGATGAAGAGTAATGTTAGGATTGCACGACTCACTTAATCCAGATGAAGAGTTCAAAGAACAAATAATAATAACAAATAAAATAACCCAATCGGCAGCCAAATCAACTTTAGCCCTACCAATCCTTGAGATCTTATGGCTCCGTGGTCATGGATTCCAACGTCATTCTAGATAAGGGCTCGTGAAGATGTTTATGATACTAATATTTGCATCTTTTAGAAACTATTTTCTACCCCATATTAATTTAAATTGATGACTTTTGTTACCCGAGAATATAAAAAAATACTATTTAATATGTATACCTTTACTATATATATATATATGTATAATAACCTATTAAATAATATAGTCGTCCACTATATATAGCCATTTACTATCAATAATGAGTTTACTATATTAATTGTTTTCTATATTTAACTGTTGTTTTTTTTCCCTTTATTGTTGTCATTTCATTTCAAATTTCCACCGTGGTTTAGGTATGACTTTGAAATCAATGAAGCATCATTTTATTTTATTCATTATGAGCTAAATTTCATATAAGATTCCATTAGATTTAGTGGATAGTTATGGGTGTATATTTTACTTTATTGAGTTTAAAAATTAATTATAAATTTAAATTGACGTTGAAATATTTAACTTTATCGATAATTGGATATAATTAAAACTTTTTGTGTTTCTAAACTATATTTGGAGTTAAAATTGTTGGATGGATGATGAAAGTCCCACGTCTGTTAATTGAGGGAATGATCATGGGTTTATAAGTGAGAAATACTGACTCTCTATTGGTATGAGACCTTTTGGGGAACTCTAAAGCAAAGCTATGAGAGCTTAAAGAATATAACGAACCATTTTTCATAAGAGTGTGGAAATTTCTCTTAAGAGGTGTATTTTAAACTGTGAGACTGAAGGCGATACGTAACGGGTTAAAGCGGATAATATCAACTAACAGTGAGCTTGAACAATTACAAATGGATATACGTAATGGACTAAAGTATAATAACGATGAGCTTGGACTATTACATCTCACTTACGAAGGTGAAGCCATAAATGATCACAAATGACAGGATATCAACGGTCAAATGAAGATGACGGGATCTTGAATTTCTCACAGCTGACTTGTTCGCTTAATGACAACAGTGCCACACAATTGCTATCCTGCTATTGTAAAAACTGCGATTGTGACACTAAACATATTTTACAGTACATGGCAGGAAAGATTCGAGAAGGTTATTAGATGCTTATACTCACAAATTGCAGGAGAATAAACCCTACACAAACATGACCCTACTTAATGATCGATTATCAATAACAAGCTCCACGAGCACCTCTAGACCATTGGAGTCACGTGGTCAAGCTCTACCAAAGTACATCTCCAATAAAGGAACTCAAGAGTTAGGTGACATTCAAATTATGATATGGTGGTGAGGTGTGAACTCCTCGCATCTTAGTATTGATTGTGAGATCTCATATCGGTTGGAAAGGAGAACGAAACATTCTTTATACGAGTGTGAAAATCTCTTTCTAGTAGACGCGGTAGATTTGGGCGGTTACAAATAGTATCAGAGTCAGACACCATGCGATGTGCCAGTAGGCTGAGCCTGAAGGAGGATGGACACGAGACGGCGTGTTAGCAAAGACGTTGGGCCCGAAAAGATATTAGCCGACAATGCTATAGTGCATTTTTTCTTTACTTGTTCATGAAGATATTAGACCAAAATGTTTAAAGTAAAAGAAAAGTCCAAAAAAAGTTTTTGAAGTTTTAAAATAAAGTAAATTCCAGATTAAAATGAAATGGGCCATAACACTGTTAATATGGTAAAATCTTATATTTGGATTTTCCAAGTTAAAAAAAAGGACCTTATATATATGCATGGCTAAATTTAGAAAATATTTACCAAGTAAGTAAAAAAAATTCAAATCATTACAAAATTACTCATTAACAATTATAAAATATAAAATAAGTTTATTGTCGTAATGGAAAATATGTACGTCTCAATCGTTTAACTAATTAAAATGATAATAATGTCTTCGCTGACTCTCACATTTGTAAATTATATTATAAAAAGATGAAACCGTTCTTGAGATCACATGGGTGTTCAGGGTTAGGTTGGGTCACATTGACATTTTTTTTTAGACCCGAGTAGCGGTGTTTGTGAGTCATAATAAACCCAACACAACCTTACTATAAATTTTTTTGAGTTGAGTTGGTTTGAGTTTGAGTTATTCTAGCTGATATTGTCGGTGTTTTGTTTTTGTTTTCAGACTTTCCTTTAAATTTTTTAAAACCGGTCTATATGGAGAGATTTTCACACTCGTATAAAAAAAATGTTTTGATCCACCCTCTAATCGATGTGGGATCTCACAATCCATCCCCCTACGAAGCCTAGTGTTCTCGATGACACTCGTTCCCCTCTCTAATCGATGAGAGATCTTACAATTCGGGTCATTTGTTCAACATTTTTAATTCATTTTCAAACATTTAATTAAATTTTGCAACTCAATTTCAATACATATTTTGAAAAAATACCTTCTAAATTGTTAAAAAAAATATTATAAAGAGTGGCCCGAGAATAAATAAAAAATAATTATTAAATCAAATAAAAAATAAAATAAATATAGGTATATTTTAAAATTAAAAATTAGCGAAACCCTATTTATTAACTCGAACTATGAAGTTTTTATTTATTTGAACCCAACTCAATCCAAATCGAACAGGTTGGATTGAGTTAATCGAGTTTTTCAAGTCATCAAATTCTTTCGATTCTTTGAATTTACTCGATCGAACATTGGTACCAAAATGAATCCAAACTCGCAACAACTTAATTAGATAATTAATTAATTATGGATAAAGAGATTTGAACATAATAAAAGTGACTGAGCTATCTTTATCAATACAACTAAGATTTTGTAGAAAAATGTTGTTATATGGTTAAATAAATTACTCCAATATAAAATTAGAGTAAATACGAATGAAATGGATAAGATATAAATTATTATGAATGAGAATATATGAAAGTTTGGATTTATTTTAGTGGGATTGTTGAAGATAAGGAATTGAATACCGTATATACGCAAATTACTTGGATTCCTTTGGGTTTTGTTTTCTTCTTCATTACATTTCAGTTCTCATCGGGATTCGGAGTTGCAGAGCTCATATAATCATCCAATCCCCAAGGAGAAGCGGTTTATCGATCTTCAAACCACTGTGAGTTTACACATTGATTTGATTTGATGGGTTATCTTTCTTGCCGAGCGGAATCTTCAATTTCGACTTCGAATTCGTTAACCCCTTCGTCTTCAAGAAATTCGTCGCAGAAATCAGAGAAACCCATTAAGATCCAACAGTTTGATTACAGTGATCTCGAGGCCGCCACTAATGGCTTCTCCGATCAGAAGCTTTTAGGTAAAGGCAGCCATGGATATGTGTATAAAGCTGTTCTTGGTGGACGTCTTGTGGCGGTGAAGAAACCCTCTCGAGCTCAGATTCTTGCTCCTTCCCGCCCTGTTTCGTTGTCGTCTTCAATGGCTTCTTATGAAATCGCTAACGAAGTCGATAATGAGATCGAGATTTTGTCCAAAATTCAGAGCCCTGGATTGGTTAATTTGGTGGGTTTTACAAATGATTCCAGAGATAGGCTTCTGGTGGTTGAGTTCATGAGCAATGGTACTCTTTATGATGTGATTCATTCAGGTACGAGACCCCTTTATTGGGGTCGAAGGATTAGATTAGCTTTGCAAACTGCCAAGGCCATTGAAACACTCCATGCTTCAAACCCCCCTGTAATTCACAGAGATATCAAATCTGCTAATGTGTTGATTGACAGGAATTACAATGCTAGGTTGGGGGATTTCGGGTTGGCGATTCAGGGCCATGCCGATGATTATCGACTGCGGTCGACGCCTCCAGCAGGCACCATGGGGTACCTTGATCCTTGTTATGTGACCCCTGATAATTTAAGCACTAAAACTGATGTGTTTAGCTTTGGGATTTTGTTGTTGGAGATTATCAGTGGAAGGAAGGCTATTGATGTTGGATATTCCCCTCCTTCCATTGTTGATTGGGCTGTTCCTTTAATTAAGAAAGGGAAGCTAATGGCTATTTATGATCCAAGAATTGCTCCTCCAAAAGACCCCATTGTTACAAAGCAATTGGCTGTGATTGCTGCTAAATGTGTGAGGTCTTGTAGAGAAAGGAGGCCTTCCATGAAAGATGTGGTTGTTTGGCTTACTGGGTTGAGCAAATTGGTTCCTCTGCATTCATGGAATGGCTTTAACAATCCATGTTTGATGGTAGAGACCGTAGGACGACCCGTTGAAACGAGAAATTCGTCATCGAATTTGAGAAGTCATAGTGTCGAGGATGGCGATTTGGATATAATGTCACGGCGAGATATTAAGAACTCGAGGAGAGTTTACTCTGATTTGGGTATCAGTAATAACTTGATGGATCTCATGGCTTGTATTGAGGAAGAGTCCGGGTTTCGGAACGTGGCTAACCGTGTTGAGTCTCATTCGAGATTGTCGAACCGGTTCTTTAGTTCGAGATTTGTTAGTAGAAAGAATCATGAATTTGAAGGCAAATGATATGGTTGGTGGCTTGAAGATTCAATTCAATTATCTGCCATTGCATCAGAGCTTGAGTGGCTTGTGACTGGTGCGCTTCTCTTTCTTGCAAATTTCAAATTGTAGGTAATTTTTTTGGTAGCTTGGCTTTCTTCTGAGTTCAATTAAATGATATCAAGCTTGGTTAATTCTATATCATGGGCACATTGCTGATGTTCCCCATATTTGTTCATTCTGTTCTTAATTGATTGTTCATTCTGTTCTTAAATATTCTTTTCAATGCCATTCAAGTTGTTATCTCAGTTCAAAAGTTTCTGATCTTGGATTTATGCTTCAAACATGATGTTCTCTGATGGTTTCTCTTATGTAATTTAACATGTATGAACCAGAAGGCCAAATGTTTCTGTTCTTTCTATAGAAATACCTTCTTTGTGTGTTTACCGAACATGGGGGACTAGAAGTCAAAACGTGTAATACCTTAAGTCATTTGTTAGTAGATATTTGTCTGCTTTGGTCCGTTATATATCGTCGTCAGCCTCACGGTTTTAAAACGCGTCTGTTAGGGAAATGTTTTCACACCTTTATAAGGAATGTTTCGTTCTCCTTTCCAACCGATGTGGGATCTCACAATCCACCCCCCTTGGAGGCCCAATATTTTCGCTGGTACACCGTTTGGTGTCTGGCTTTGATACCATTTGTAACCGCTCAAACTTACTGATAACAGATATTGTGCGATTTGGCCCATTACGTATCGTTGTCAATCTCATGGTTTTAAAACGCGTTTGTTAGGGTGAGGTTTTCACACCCTTATAAGGAATGCTTGTTCCCCTTTCCAACCGATGTAGAATCTCGCAAAACCACCATTTGTTGGCTCAATGGTCCCAAGTTGAGTTGTAAAGAAAACTCTTCAAAGTCATAAATTTAAACTACGGTAGGCGGGTCTTGCGTGATCAATCGAGACGTGTTAAAGGTTGTTAGGTTCTCTTCATAACAAACCAGAACAAAAACTTATCATTAATGATTGAAAAGTTACAAAACTTTAAGACTCTCTTTAAGAATAGAAACTTCTAAAACATCAAAACCAAAACATAAGATTACACGAGTTTCATAAAAGGCTTCCCAACAAGAACTAATCTCAATACATGAATAACTATGAAAAACTTAAGAGAGAGCACAAGTCTTTACTCGTAAGCAAGTGAGATAGCTTTTTTTGCCTGTTCGTTGAGCTGTCAGAATCTACAAGAGGGACACGAAGCATTGTTTATAACAGTATGAAAATCTTTCCTTAGCATACATATTTTAAATTCGTGAGGTTAACGGCAATAAGTAACAAGTCAAAGTAGACAATATCTACTAGCGGTGAGCTTGGACTGAATCAAATTGTTTGTTTGTGGTTTGGAGGCAAATTCAAACCTTCACGGTTCTTCAAAAAGTTTGTGTTTTATGGAGTGCAGTAGGGTGAATATGAAGCCAAGGGAGGTCATTGTATGGTCCAAGGGACACACTTGTTAGCGGAGAATAAGGATCATGTTTTGTCAAAACACAAGAAAACACACAGAAACTGACAAGCAGCTTCACCCCAAGTGTTGATTTTGTAATGTCCTCTCTGTCTCTGCTTTGATGCTGATGATACCCACTTGTGAAGCTTCTTCCTTCTGAATACACTATTCAACTTTCTGACAGCACGGGTCACTACTCACATGCATGTTTTCAAACTCGTTTCATAACGATTTTGTTTTTAAATTTCTGTCTCTTAGAGTGAAAGTTCATCTCGTTTAATTTTAAACCCGTTTCAAATCTTACTTAAATGTTTAAAAACAAATATCCTGCCTCGATAAGTTCTTTAAAATTTGTGCTTTCCTGTTGTTTGGTTACTCTCTCGACTTTCTCTCTTAGAAATTATCTCATTCCCATCATTATTGTTTAAGTGATGTTGGTTTTGATTTGTGCACAAGAAAAGCCTTCGATCTATGTTCTAACATGTTCGTTCATGTTGTTCTCGTATTTGAACTATTAAAGGCGAGACTTAAAAAATGAAAACGTAGAATAAATCATTGTAGCCTGCGTTCAACATTTGGGTTTGTCTAATTGTCCTATATCCATCCATATATTCCTTGAATTTTGAAATTTGATACCCGAAAAGTCAAAAGTTGGGTTCATGTCAATTTCATCTCCTAATAATTCTAAATCATCATTCGGGTTTCTTTCTCTAAAGATCTATCATTTTTAGAACATGTTCTTTTTACAAAGATAATTAAAGAGGGATGAGATTTGAGTCTTACTACATTTAAAAAAAAAAAATGTAAAAACGTCCAATGTAGCAATAGAAAAAGAACCTCGAATTTAACGATAGGTGAGAGTGAAAAGATTCGAACTTCTGACATCTTGATCGATGATAAATGTATTGTAATCTATTGAAATGTGCTCATAATAACATTATAGTGTATCGGTCATGTCTCAGATAAAACAAAAATGTGATAAATAAATAAGACATAATATAAGGACTTGTTAGCAAAATTTGAGGGTTAAACAAGAAGCATCTATGAAGCTAAATGTATGTTAGTCATTAACAAAATGCCACAATTTCAATATTCTCTCACATCTTTGACTTCCCGTTTAAATTTCATTTTTGTCCCTAAACTTTTAAAATTGTTCTATTTTGGTCCTTAAATTTTTAAGTTCGTTCTATTTGGTCTCTAACTTCTTTAGCTTGAAAGCAAAATCATGCTAACGTTCTAGTACACATCCTCAAAACTATATCAATAATTTTATTGAAATTAAAATTAAAATAAAAGTAAAGAAAAAAAATAGTTATTATTTTGAATATTGTTTGACATCTTGGTTTAATTAGATACAAAATGAAAAAAAAAAAAAAAAATTCTCGCGGTTCATATTTGTTTAGAAAGAAGATCGAACTATTAACCTTTGAAATCGTAATTAGTGTTTATAATTAGAGGGAGAGTAGAAAATTAATTTTATTATTGCATAATGTTTTTGTTTATTTATGATCTCTAATGCTAATAATCAAAACTTTATGCATCTTCCATTTTGATTATAATTAGTGATTCTGTTAATTGATTTGTAAAAGCATAATTAGAAGCACATAAAGTTAGAAATTGGTGTGGAAAAATATGAGGCAATTATGAAAGTGTTTGGTTAGTTTGATTATGACATGGGAACCTACGCAAATTATTACACCAACTTATTCTTTTTCCTTTTCTTCTTTTTCTTACTCATAATTTTGAAGTTTGGTGCTCTTCTCCCTTTATTTATTTATATTTTTGCATATACTCATTCATTTCCTTTTAAATGCGCATATTACAATTCATTCGACTCATTCTCTCGAATGAGAACACAAGAAGACAGAGAGATGTTTAATGCTATTGTCGGATCAAAAACTCATTCAACTCGAATGAGAACATTTGAAAGACAGAACTCATTCTCTCGTTACGCTTCAATGACGCTACAGATGTCGAGTTAGAAAGATAATGATAAAATGACCGACATGATCACTTTCTTATCCAAAAAGGAATGCCACTACTTCTACTATCAGCTTGCTTTTCCTAATGCTTAACTTGCATTGACAACGTCGGCCTATCTATATTCAGCATGAGACCAATTCCTTAGTTAGAAGGAAGGCGTTCTCGAGACATAGCTTTCTAAGTAGAATTCGAAATACCCGCTAGAGATCTTTAAGTGAAAAGATGAGGCCCAACTTATATTTACTAACATTTCTAGAAAGCCAAGTTTTAAGGTAAGAAAGAGTTGTGGAAGTTGAACTAACTTTTTAACAAATGTAGGAAATGTCAAATGGAAGGTACAATGAAAAGACGTTCTAACAAGGACGGACCTTATGCGCAAGCTAACAAATGGCTATTACGATGAAACCCAACCAACCCGACCCAACCCAAGCTCCGCTGTATTTGTAAAACCAAGAGAAATAAAACAATGAAAAATGGGACTTTCTCCTCAATTCTAAGCTACAAAATAAGAACAATCACCAAAAAGTCTACTGTTATATCCTTGAGCTATATCATTGCTAACCCTCCTTTCAATAGAGAAACCAGACAAGATCTTAGAGGAGAAACATTGGGGCAAAATCCGGCACAGCTGCAACCAAGGGACGCCGTTCTTGTGTTTGTGTGTGTATAAGGATTGGTGGCACAAGAAGAGAGTAGCTATAAGGTGGGGAAAGAATTTCCAAAAAGAAAGCCAGAAATGACTTATCATGTGTTGCCCCCTTAACTCAATCTCATGCTCTGCCTTGTTTTGATCATTCGTTTCAGCGTAGCCAGCCAGAAGCTGCACTCGTCCCACTCGCTTGTGGTGAGAAGAACCTAAAAGCAGCAAGGATAAATGAATGCATCTCATTCTGGATTTCAGGACACGACAGGATCGCAAGAACTTCATTTTTTTAAAAAGAAAATAACTTCAAATATACCTGGATTTGTAGGGCGCGACCATAATCGCCAGTATCCAGAGCCTGACAGAGCTGACCAAGCTTATCAGCAGCATTTTTAGATATATCCCCGCTGTTCAGTTTGTTGAACAATGCACCCATCTTCCTTGAGTTGTCTTCAATTTCCCGCTTCTTACCTGGATTTGCCCGAGCACCTCCCAATGCTTCTGAGGTCTCGTTGAAAAGTCTACTCAATGTTGCTACCACAGGTTTTTGATGAGCTGCAGAATATCAACCAGTTATTCTATCTAAATTCATATTGTATGCATGTATGTAGCATGTAAGTGGACGAGTACATCAATGTTACGTTATTATATATTAACATGGAATTGTGATAAATAAGCATGAATTTCAGGAAAGCTGATAGCAAAATATAACAATATCTTCTACACCTCTGTTTAAGAAATCTTTACAGCACACGAGGTAAAACTTCAATTACATAGTCCACAAAACTACAAATTATCGGAATTCCTTGGTCCAGTGAAGGGTAAAACAATAAAAATGGTCCTGTAACTTCAGATTGACCAGAATTCTTTCCTTTACCGGCTAAAAACTCAGAGTGGCATGTTTCTTCCGAAATTTCTTTGAGTTACAAAACCATGAGTGCATTAATCATGCAAATACGTGAACCAACCAATAAGTAGAATTGCAGGCATACAGGCCGTGTCTGGGAGTTAGTTTTCATGCTACCTTATATCATAAGCCAATAGTCCTTGTTAAGGGATGATAGCATTATATGCATCTAAAAGTTAATGCTACTTAAAATCCCTTAAAGACTACATTTTGAAGAAAATATTGTAAACCAAAACCGAATATAGGATCTTAATGAACTTTTTCTGTTAAACAAATAGGTAACTAACAATTACCAGGAACGTTTGAAGTATCTGCAGTCTGCACAGTTGGTGGTGGGGCTGGTGGCGTCACTGGTGGCTGTGTTGGAGTAGATTGTGGAGGGCTGGGTGGCTGAACCATACCCATTCCAGGTAGCTGAACGGCTCCTGGATTAGGAACTGGCATGAATCCCCTCGATGGAGGAGCGGGAGCCACAACCTGAGGCATTTTATGCCCAGGAACCGACTCCATGTGTGATGGGGCAGAACCGATTGAAGCAGTTGATTGTATAGGTTGAAAAGTAGGATTAACAATTCCCTGAAATATTTGAGAAACAAATATTAAATTATCATCATCTTTTACACTAAAAATGGTAAGATTTATGCACTCATTGATGAAGAAGGATTACGAACAGGGTACAACT